TGGTTATACCCCCCCCCCCCCAAGCAACCGGGCAGAGAACCCTTTGCTCAAATGTTTGAAGTCCACTCCTGGATATGAGTATCCTAAAATATATTTATCAGGAACTAATCGAGAGCTTTCCAACATTGAAGCCCTTTCACCAAACCAGACGGAAGCAGAGGATTCTACCTGCGTATCTATGCCAGACGTGTTCCAGCACCGACTTCTGGATCTGCTCCGGGGATCCAGGGTGGGAATGCAATGCTGCCAAGGAAGGAGAATGCTCCATCGGAGACCTGCAGAGACATCAGAAATGGAAGATTAAAGGCCGGCAAGCAAGCAAACTCCAGAGCTCCTACAGCATGAAGCCAATACACTTACGGCTCGTTTTCGCTGACGATGTTCGCCTCCTCTTTGAATGCATTCAGGTTTAGGACACCCTTTGCTGTGGGCGTCTTCATCCGTACCCTCCCAATGCTGTAGGGCAAAGGGGCCATTTCAATAGGTAACACACACGCATACGCACACACGCTTGCATAGATACAGGTAGTCCTCGACTTACGACGGTTCGTTCGAAGCTACAACGGCACTTGAAAAAAAGGGACTCACGACCATCGGAGCCTCCGCATGGTCACGGGATCAAAATTTGGACGCTTGGCCACTGCTTCATCTTTATGACGGTCACAAGTGTCCTGGGGTCATGTGATATCCCCTTTGGCGACAAGCAAAGTCAATGGGGAAAGTCAAATTCACTTCACGGCCGCGCTAACTAACTGAAACAACTGCAGTGATTCATTCGTCATAAAAGTGGCAAGAAAAGTCGTTAAATGTGGAACAAATTTCTCACTTAGCCACGTAAATTCTGGGCTCAATTGCGGGGGTAAGCCGAGGACTACCTGTGGACCCTTGTGCGAGGGAAACCAATGCGATTTAGGTATTTCTGCAAGGCTGCAGATACGGAAGCTGATTGACGGCATAGCTGTCTTCAGCCCATCATGCAGCTGCCAGCAACTAAGGCTCCCGACACCCAGTAGCTGACCCAGAGAGAGAGAGAGAGAGATCCAGGTGACTTAGAATTGGGGTTTGCTGCATTTCCCCCCCGCCTGATGTTTCAAAATGGGTTTCTATTGTGATAGAAGAAATTTGTACACACCACTGGAATGGAAAACTTCACGTTCTCTTTACTAACATAAAACCTATGCAGGTTCTCTTCTCCAAAACTGGTTCCAAGACCATTTATGATTGTTTAAAAAAATAAACAAAAACAAAGCTGCACAGCCACGTAATAAAAGTGTCTCCGTTTAGTTATCACTTTTTCCTCCTCCGTGAAGAGAGAACTTTTTATTCATAAACTGAATATTTGGGGGTGGAGGGCAGGGGAGTTGTGGGTACCCAACACCTGATTCCTTCGGAGTCTCAATAACAAAAACGAACAGAGGGAAAAGTGGAAGGTAGGCGAAAGGCTCTTGATGAGCTCAGAATCAAATAAAAGCATCTAGAAAATCCTTGCACCTCTAGCTGGACTTCCTTCAAGCTCTGGACATAGCATCACAGTTATTTGATCAGGAAGTGACCAAGTGCAGGGAGAATAAGTGTGAACAAGCTTCTTCCTGTCCGTGATAGATTGCAGTTGGTGCTGGGTTAGAAGAAGGTAGATTATTATTCTCCAAAGCACCAGAGACAGGATGAGAAGTAATAGCAACAGCACTTAGACTTACATACCGCTTTACGGTGCTTTACAGCCCTCTCCAAGCGGTTTAAAGCTCAGCCTATTGCCCCCAACAATTTTGGGTCCTCATTTTACCTACCTCGGAAGGATGGAAGGCTGAGTCAACCTTGAGCCTGGTGGGATTTGAACTGCCAAATTGCAGGCAGTTGGCAGGCAGCAGAAGTAGCCTGCAGTACTGCACTCTAACCACTGCGCCACCGTGGCTCAGTATAATGGGTGGAACTTGTGAAAAAGAGAACCAAGCTAGGAGACATTTTCTGACTGTAAGAACAACAACCCTAACAATGGTTAGGGTTGCCTCCTGGAGTTGTGGGTGCTCTATCACTGGGAAATTTTCAGAAACAGACCGGACAACCATTTGACCAGGATGGTAAAAGGTCTGCTGCCGCATTGAAGAAGGGGTTAGACTAGATGACCTCCGAAGTCCCTTCCTGGGATACTATGTTCTAAATGAGAGCTGTTGTAGTTGGAAAAATATAAGCTACCTGTAGACAAAGGACTCCCCCAGTTTCTTTTGGTGATCCCTGAAGCTCCCTCAAAATTGTGCCACTGAAAAGGTGAATTGCTATTTAACAGGGATTCAACGTGCTATTTAATAGGGATGCAATTTATGCAGGTCAGTTTTTTTTTTTTAAGCTAAACAATAAAAGGGTTATATTAAACCTTTGGAATGCCAGTCTCTCTCTACCCTTGTCTCCCGATACTAGTTCAGCACTTCCAATTTCACCTCATTCAGTTAACTAAAAAAGTGGCAGGCATAATTAACATATTGACAGCAATTCATTATAGATCCTCAGGTTGGAGCTTCACACCAAAAAGCAAAAACCGAGTTGGGGGTTTTGTTGGACATTTAGTGCAATGCCAAAGAGATGAGCACATGGTTCAAAGAAAGCCTATGAAACCCACTCTACAAGTCAAAGAAAAACAATGGTGCGTTTTTGGCTTTCCAGACACAACTCAGAAGCATAAATGACCCCACGAACAGTGTTGAAATTCTCCAAGCAATCAAGGAAGAACTCTGTTGTTTCCATTCGTCCCTGCTGCTCCTGCCTGCCCCAACAATAGAAGTGACCCATTAGGTCAACAAAAG